TGGATGCAAACTGGGCCATGAATAATGCTGATAATTTGGAAAAACTACCCATTGATCTGGGTTGCAGGGTCCTGAACCATTCCTAGGCAGGGCCCCTGAGCGTGCTAAAGAAAAGTCGGCAAATGGACGGTTCCGACGCTCCCAATAGCATAAGACCCCCCTGATAACTTCTCAAGTGTCCGTGGGGATCTCCCGCCCCGTCATATATCTGACCGGTTTGGCATCCCTGTGAATCTTTGCTTGCATGATTTCCCGGGTGAAATGGGAAGTGATTCCGGCCTGAACTGGAGTAGGCTGCAGAGGGGCTCTGTTCATTTGTTCCCTCATTTCGTTCATCTGCCTTCTCATGTCGGCCATTTCTTCCTCCTGAGCTATTAGGGGGGGTGGGGGTGGTGGAGTTCCCAGATTTACAAACTCCTGATTCGCCTCCGGTAAAGTTGTCCTCTGATTGTGACGTCTCTGCCCGAATCTTGTACTGTTACGTTTTTCATACCGGAATTGGCGGCCAATGGGCGTATCTCCCCTGGCCCTGGACCCGGTCGGGGTGCGATCACTAGGAGTGTGATGCCTGCCCCTGGTCGCATGAGTTCTTCCGCGGTCTCCCCATTGGGCTCGCGAGTGATTTGATCCTGTGGTGGTTTCTGCATCGGTGGTTTCATCATTGAAGGATGGGGTTGTGTATCTAGTTTCCCCGGTATAGCTGGACTGTCCCCCATCCTGCTCATCCGCCATTTGTCGCATGAACTGACTCAAATTTCACATGGCATGGGGGTTCCTCCTTAATGCTTCGGGGATAACGAAATCCCCGTCAGAGTGCGAGTAGGACCCCCGGCTGGATTGCCCTTGGGGGGTGATAAGTCCATTTTTGTACTTATTTTTCTTATCAAAGTTAAGCGATTTTGGATTGAAAAATAGAAAAACAAGGCATGTTTTATATATTTTGGTTCAAGTTTCATGAAATCAGGTAAAAACCATGTCCATGATATCTTTGACGAAATTCCGGGTCAATTAAGCACACAATGAGTCAATTTGAGTGAAATGATATCATACCGAAAGAAGGAAGCAGAATTTCAAAGTGGTCCAGAAGGGAAAGTTGAAGAGCACAAAATACAGAACAAGACGGTCAAACAATCTCATAGACGGCCAAATAGGCGGCCAAAAATGGAGGCCTTCGCGGCCGCTTACGGAAAAATAAAAAATTAGGCTTTGACTCGAAGCGGGAAGAAGACCGAAGGCTTCGACCGAAGGCGGCCAAATAGGCGGCCAAAAATGGAGGCCTTCGTGGCCGCCTACGGGAAAAGACGACAAAGCCAACGACCGTCGGTGCGAAAAGACAACAGGCGGCCAGACAGAAACGGCAGGCGGCCGCCTTCCGTGGCCGCCTGCGGCGAAGTGACGTGCGGCACGTTCGACCGCCGGTGATGGGACGGAAGGCGGCCGGAGCAAGGTAGCAGGCGGCCGCCTGGTTGGCCGCCTACGGTATTTTTGCTGCTATAAATAGCCCGATTTTTCCTCATCCCAAACACCCCGAAACTAGTTCAAAAATGTCTTCTTCTTCCTCTCCAAAGCTCGGATTTCCACCATTGTTGCACCTTCAACTTCAATCTTTCATATCTTTTTCATTTTAGCTCCAATTTGTAAGTTCTTTATATGTATTTTCATCTTCTCAACAAGTAGAATCTGAATCTATGCTTTATTTTCTCAATCTGTTCTTTAAATGTTTCCAGAATATTTATCAAGTATTTCGCATTTTCTTCCAAAAATTAAATAAAATAATTGTTGATGTTGAATTCATTCCAATTAATTATATAGTTGTTTACTAGCCTCAAGGTTGTTATTTATCTGAAGAAAGTTAATTTTCCCGAAGCAGAAGTAATTTTTAATCAATTTCAATAATTAGTTGTTATTATTGCATAAATTAACTTAATTACTTAAAAATAGTAAAAAAAAAATAGTTTCGGCCCTAATTCCAGTTTATTTCACTATAATACAGCCCCAGTAGTCAATAGAAAATTTAGAACGAATTTAGTCTATTTTTAATTGCCTTTTGTATTTTATAGTTAAAAGTGGGAAATTATCGATTAATTGTTAAAATTGGATTTTAGGTCTGAAAATTCGTGAAAAAAATTCCAGAAAGTCATATTGTAGTTCCAGAAAGTTTATTTTGACAATATATTATTTTTGTTTAATTTTTGCTATTATACATGTTTAATTCCTTGTTAATGTTAAATTTATTTACCATATTGTTGAATGCAAAAATAATGTTTGGTAGCTAAATTTGTTTTGGGCATGAATTGAGTAAAGGAATATGGATTGACTTGTTAGCCGAAAATTAGGGGTTAAAATTAATTAATTGAGCTAGTTATTCAATTTGATGAATTAGTAATTAATAATTGTTAGCCAATTTCATTAATTAAATTTTGGAAAATTATTTCTAACTTGTCTATGAGATTAGAAAGTAATTTGAGCCAACTTTATTCAAGCATATTAATAAGGCCTAGAAATAGGATAATTTTAATGAAATGGATTTACATCTTGTCTATGAGAAATAAATTCAATTTGCTTAAATAATGAATTTAATTAGTTAATGAATTTGGCTATTTTTATTAATTAAAATTTTGGAGAATTATTTCTGCCTTGTCTATGAGATTAAAATTTAATTCAAGCCAACCATTTTTGAATACATTAATGAAACCTAGAAATAGGATAAATTAATGAAAGTAATTTCTATTCTTGTCTATGAGAAAAGAAATTATTAGTCCAATTTTAGTTTTAAATTCCTCTAATTACTAGGTCCAAGAATATATCCATTTCCAATTACTCAATTCATTGCCCTTACTTGCCTCAATCTTTTCATTAATCTTTAGAATATTTGATCTTAAATCTTTAGTTGAAATTTGCTCCTAGTATAATTGTGCAAATTGGCCTAGTCTAGAACACAATCACCTTTTTGTATTGAAAAAGCTTCCAACAATGAGCGATAGCCCGTGACTAAGACTAAATTAAGAAAACTCCTCCGCCATTCCTCAAGAGACACGAAACTCGGGGAAAAACTGAAAGGTTAGACTCCGTTTTACTACAACGCCGCGTAAGCGGTTATCAGGGGGTCTGGCTTTCCCCGGTATAATGAGAAGCGATTCTTACCATCTTTTAAAATAGGTTGTTGTTTTGGTGTGAAACTTTTCGTTCAGAGTTCCCACAGACGGTGCCAATGTTGAGGTTTAGTCAGGTAGATCCGAAAGCCCAACACAGACTTTGGATATATAAGGAAATGGACAATAATTCGGTATGTAAAAGAAAATATAAAAGATTGATAATCGAATGCTCAAAAGCCCACTTGTATTAATTGACCTGTTTGATTACAAGGAAATTACCCGAACGGTACGTCGGATTGATGCTTAATACAAGAAACAAGAGTAATAAGGCTATTCTACGGCTTGAGTATTAAAATGCTAACCCTTACAATGATATTAAACCTTCTATTTATACTAATGGAGAGTATGGGATGCTTTATGCTGATTGGCCAATATTCCACCGACCTGATCACCCATGCCTCCACTTGATGATGTCACAATCTGGCATTAATTGCACCTGGCCACCTGCTGGCTGTCCGTTGCCCGAACGGGATAATGGGCCCTGTAAAACATCGTTGATTTGGCCCAAGTATGATGAATGACCCGAACCCCGTTCGGTATGTCTGTTCTCTGGGCCAGCCTTTACTTGGCCCGAACCTCGTTCGATATGAATATCTCACTGGGCCTACTTATCATAAGGTAGCAGACTCGTTGTTTGGGCTGGATGTCCTAGGCCTTTAATCCGGGTATTGGGCCTCCGGGTCAATATCCCAATAGCTATTTTTATTCATTTTAATAAATAGAAGCCGATTCAACCCATACTGTCATTTCAACATGAACTTCATAACTTCAACAGGATCAGACAATTAAGTCACTTTGAGATTTACCAAACGACCTCAACGTGTCTTATTTAATCTCAAATCTCAAGATAAAAACCCGAAGAAAAAAATCTAAATTTGGTCCGGTAATTATTAACGGGAAAAATAACATAAATAACCCAAACTTTGATGGGGTGTGAGATAAGTACCCCAAACTTGCTTATGTAATATATATACCACAAGCTTTGTCTAAAAAGTTATTTTCACATCACGATTGTGTTTTTTACGAATATAAATTTATCTGAATAATTACATAACTTAAAATACTCTAAGCATTGTTAGGATGCAATTAACATTCTAAATTTTCATTTTTGAAATAAATATATTACATCCGTTACAATTTATTTTTAATTGCATCCTCATAAATGTTTTGTGTATTTTATATTATGCACTTTACACCATAAATTACATTTGTGAAAAAAACATATGATCATGTTGCTAACTTAACTTTTTTATAACATGTGGTAAATGTATTACATGTGCAAGTTTGGGGTGCTTATCTTACATCATTTCAAAGTTTGGGATATTTAAATTATTTTTCTCAGTTATTAACCCAACCTCATTTTCTTAATTATTTATTCAATTAGCATTAGTTCGGAAAAAGCTCAAAATAATTTCTATTAATGAAATGAATAAAAATAGCTAAAATATACATCTTCAGTAACTTCAACCAATGCAGTCAGAAAAGTAGTTTCAATCTCACTTATTTTGATTATTACACAATAAGCACACAAAATAAAAAGTTCTGTGTTTGGTGAAAAAGTTGATTGATAAGATTGATAAGTGGAAAAAAGGAGTCCCCAAACGAGCTTCATATGCTCTTCATTTTTTTAAAATTACATATGCAATATTGGTGTCAAATGAAACCTCATAAAAAATTACGAATTGTGATATTTTTTTTATACAAAATAGAGCAAAAATAAAAAAGTTATAGCTATTTAAAGAAAAAATGGATTTTATAATTTTGAGGGACCCATCTTGATTGCTACGTTTGTGGCTTACTCTTTGGTACTTGTATTGTGAGATCACGGGTACGCATAAGTGGGGGATTTGTTTTAACTAGGGTAACAATAATCTAGGAATTACGTAGTATTATTAACCCAACCTTATTTTGGTAAATATTTATTTAATTAGCATTCATTTAGAAAAATGGCCAGTTTCTATTTGCCATTCAGTTTCCATTGAGGGCGATGTCGAGTTTTGAGGCGGAACTTCTGGCCATGGTTACAGCAATACGCTGGACAATCGATGCAGGATTTGTTGATTTCCAGGTAGAAATTGATGCGGCGGAGGTGCTTGAATACGTTTTTGGCAAGCGGACTGGGAGATGGACAAGTTCTATTTCTTCGCTGATGGAAATGGCAAATCGAGCTAGGCTTTCCTACGGACATGTTTTGAGGGAGGGTAATTGGCCAACCCATCTTTTAGTTGATACCGGTGTAGCCCATTTTAAATTTTTTCCTACTTTGATTTCTCCTCCTCCCATTGTTAAAAGTGCATACTATTTAGATTTATTTAATTTTCCTTCATTTAGATGTTTGATGTAATTTTTATTAAGAGGTTTTGGTCTTGTCCCCCTCTTATTTTGTAATAATGCTTTATCCTAATTAATAAAACTTGTCAAATGTTCCCCCAGCATTTGCCCCACTGATTTCGGTGGTTTGCCTTTTGGGGTAAAGAAAACATTCATTTAGGAAAAAACTCTAAATGTGTATGTTGATCAGCCACTTAAATAAATTAAGGGCACTTGGTAATTCTTTCCGGATTATTGCTTTATGGTAACTCTTTTTATTTCAGATGTTGAGTTGTGTTGTAATAAAAATAAATAATCTTGGAATTACTTTTTAGACTGAGTTAGGTGAAGTTCTAAAGAGGCTGGCTAATTTTAACTTATTTTATATATAATTTTTTCTGAGATTGGTAATTAAAATATATTTTAAATACTCCCTCCGTCCCGGTCATTTCTTCCGATTTTAACCGGCATCACAAATTTATGCAAATTTATAAAGGGGTTGACTTTACCCTTATACCCTTGGCCGAATGGGGTAAATAAATGGGTAAAAGTTGAGGTAAAAACTTTAATAAAGTGGGAAAATGATTAAAAATAGATTGATTGACATGTGAATAGTAAAGACTATTCACATTTGGCTAAAACTTGCATACATTGAGGCGGCAATCCAAAAAAAACGAGGAAGATTACTTTTTGGTTCCTTACATATACCGTTGAAGATAATTTTATTGTGAATCAAGTCTGTCAGTTTTGTCTGTAATAGTCTAGAGTTTACTATTCCTATTCTGTACTGATATATTGTCTTTATTAGAATAGTATTTAATATGGGCCAATACAAAGGCTAAAAGTCTTATACGCATACCTGAGCCTCGCCTATAAAAGGGAGCCGAGGACTCAGGTCTGCGTTAACTTTCGTACTCATTCCAAATAGCCTTAGCGCATATTATTCTCTGTACGAGTTCACGATATATCGAGGAAGGTTGTCATCGATCATCTTGTGTTCATCTTTCTTGTTAATCTCCTACTTGTTCTACTCTTTATCTTTGCTGTAATAGAAAACAGGGACTAACAAATGATATCAGAGCCGATCGAGAGCTGATCAGAAGAACGTCTGCAGAAAGACTCTGTTTTTCTTTCCTTTTTTGTATTTCTCGAGTTTCTCATCTGTAATCTTGTTTCTAGTTGAAAAGCTGTAAAAGTTATACCGTTAGAATCGTCATCTCGAAACAATCAAGGTGTATACTTTAGTTTTTTCATTCTTCAAGTTTGACACTTCAAATATCTCGAGATCAAGATCTCGAGATCACTGTTTGAACAGGTTTTGCCTTGTATTTCGTGCTGAAAACTTCACAGGAGGATCTCGACACCAAATGCTACCAGGAACAGCCTTCAGTTTTTGAAAACTCGAATTTTTACATTTGCAGGATCTCGACTTTGAGGATCTCGACATAGGGATTTCGATATTAAGGTCTCGACATCAGGACTTCGACATTTGAAATCTCGAATTGCAAATCTCGTAGTTTAAATCTCGATACTTCAAATCTCGATATTTGAAATCTCGAGATCAAAACTCGACATTTGAAATCTCGATATCCAAATATCGAAAACCAAATCTCGATATCCAATATCGAAATCTTGAATCTCGAAATTCAGATTTCGATATCTAAGATCTCGGTATTCTGCCTTTGAAAATTTTCTGATCAAATATCTCGAACGGTCAGTTTTCTACAGCAATGGCTTCAGAATCCAATGTCCAAGGGAACAGCAGTACTCCTCCAAATCGAAGGAAAGGAGAATATCAAATGTGGAGGAATCGATCCCTAAACTTCCTCGAACACAAAGAAAATTCCGTTGCAATGCTTGAATCACTGCTTGAAGGACCGGCTGAGCTGATGATTTCAGTTGGAGGAGATCCAGACAACAACCCACCTATCCCTCCGGAAAGGAGACGGAAAGTGGCATCAGAATACACCGAAGCTGACAAGCTTAGACTTAGAGGTGATCTCATGGCGAAAAGATACCTCCTTCAAGCCATCCCAAACGAAGTCTATGTACTGATTGACAGCATGCAAACTGCAAAGGAGATGTGGGATGAGATTGAAAAACTGCTCCAAGGCACAAGCATCAGCCTGAAAACCAAGAAAACAACTACACTGATTGTCTATGACTCCTTCAAAGCTGCCCCTGGAGAACCATTGAACGAGACATATAACAGACGCGTTCAACTGGTCAATGAACTAAGGAAGATCAAAGTATTCAGGACCAACTTGGAACTGAATATACGATTTCTGTCCAGTTTACATCCCGCATGGAGAAAGACTGTAAAGGATGTCAGACAACGCATGGACTGGGATGAAATTGATCTCTGCATCCTACATGAACACTTAAAGCAATTTGTCAATGATGTTGCTTGTGCCGAGGATCAACTCGACACAAATCCACTGGCTCTGGTGATGGAAGCTCAGCCCGAAGGACAACCAAACCACTGAAGAAGAAGAAGAAGAAGAAAGTGGTGGTTGAATCAGATGATGATGAGAGTGATGAAGAAAAATCTGACCTGGAGGCTGAACTTGCAGACCTTCAGAAGAAGATGGTACTGCTGGTCAAGAAATTTGCTAAGAAGAACAGCTCCTCCAATCATTGAGAACCTCCTCCTCAAATTACAAACAGAAGAACCATGATCAAGGCTCTTCTAGGAAGGCACCAGCAGCTGAAGATGCTCCCATATGCTATAACTGTGGAAAGGCTGGACATGTTATCAAAGACTGTCGCCTGCCAAAGAAGAGGGATGCAAACTTCTACAAACAGAAGATGCTGTGGAATAAGCAAAAGATGCTTATGGTGCAGAAGGAAGAAGAAAATTCTGCAGTGCTTGCCGAAAATGATCATTGGGAAAAAGACACTTCTGATGAGGAGGAGTAGGAAAAAAACTATGCCTTGATGGCACGACTGGAGGAAGAAGATGAAAGAAAGGATGATGCTGCGATCCCCAGAAGTGAATGCTCTACAAGCACTGTAAGTACCTCTTATCTCCCTTGCAATAATCAAAATCAATCCTTGCTTGATAAGGACAATCTCATTAAAGAACTAAAGGAGAGATTAGACCATAATCACAGGGTGCTGAAACAGAATCTTGACCAAAAGTCTTCTCTAAGCGTTCAACTAGAAATTGCAAAAGAACAGGTCAAAAAGGTGTCCTCAGATTTCGAAAGTTTTGAACTTAAAATAGCTGAAATGACTAAGAAATCGGAGGACATTGAACGAGAGGAAAGCACAACAAAGGCTGAATGCGAATTTTTGCAAAATAAAAGAAGAACCCTTTTAAACAAAGTAAAAGAACTTGAGGATCTAGCTGCCAGGAGAGGTCAAACTGAGCAGACAATTTTTCTGAATCAAATAAGGGATGACCGGTTCTACAATCCTCGGACCGGACTTGGCATAACCAACCCATGTAATCTAAAGAAAGTTGACTGTCTTCAGATTTATAACAAAGATTACATGGGACTAGGGTTTGGTCAGAAAATGTATTTTAGAAGTGATGAAGAAAACGCAGAAGAAGAAGAAGAAGAAGAAGAAGAAGAAGAAGAAAAGAGAAAGAACCCTAAGGCTGCAATTTCTTGTGATTATCCTTCTGTAAATGAAAAACATCTCACACACGAAGACCAAAGTTTTTGTACTAATGAGTGTCAGGATCCTTATGCCGTTGCGAAGGATGTACCACAACTAGGACATCCATTAGATCCACCTCCAAGGGTAGGTATCTCAAAAATTGGAGAGGAACCCTGTATTTTTCCAATGGCACAAAAACTCAAAAACCCTTCAGAAAACTCTAGACAACGAGAGAGAGATTAAAAACTGAAAGGAGAGGTTTTGAGAGTAACTGGGAGGAACTTCTTAATAAGTTCAATGAATTGAGTGAACAATATCATTCTAAAACAACCTCTCAACCTGTTTCTAATAATAAGTTAAACAATTCTCACACCTCTCCTGACAAAACTAAATTTTCAAAAGGATCGTCTACTCATCACTCTTCTCCTTTGCTCACAGGACAAGAAGTGAAGAAGGGAGGAGAAGAGAAGGACGAGTGGAGGAAGAAAAGAAAGGAAATTGCTGAAGGGAAAAAGAAAGTTTTTGAAAATAAGACCAGCACTAGATCCAGTTCCATTTTGTATTCTAAAGTTAAATGTATTCTGAGACATCTTTTGGACATCGTTCTATTCATAATTCAAGTATTGCTTATGGTTATTCTGTTCCAGATCCTCATAATTATGAATGTGATGTGAATGTTGTCAAAGTCAAGCCTCAAAGAAAGCTCAATCCGAGAAAGGAAACCGAGAACAAAACTTCTAAGGGAATATTTTGTATACGTTATATGAAATATCCACTCCGAGTTCATTCTAGGAAACATCTTAATCAGCTTTCTAAGGAGGAAATTTTTTTAAACCCACCTTAAGAAACAACCATTCAATCACAAAGCTCATGTCTACTCTCCTCCCACAACAAACCAAAGGTGGGTCCCCAAAAACAGACCCACCAAGACTGAAACTGAAAGGTGGGTCCCCAAAAACAGATCCATTAAAACTGAAACCGCCAAGTGGGTCCCCAAAAACGGACTCACCAAAACGGAAACCGCTAAGTGGCTCCCAAAACCAGACCCACTGCAAAGGCAGATCTGGCTGTTAGAGAGCCCGCAAGAGAAAAATCATTTGTTGAGAATGCTGCTGACCTTGGATCACAGCTGAAAGCAAGATTCAAACAGGTGTTTTCTATTGATAAGGAAGGACCCATCCCAAGGTGGGTACCTGTAAGGAATAATTGTAATTATATTTTGATGATGCTATATTAATTAGGACTTTAGAGTACCCCTTCTTTAGATTTCTTGTATTAGAAATTTTCCTTGTAAAGTTCCTTAGAATAGTCGACTGACAGAAGACCTCCAGAACAGAAGACCTCTTGACAGAAGACCCTCTGATAGGCTTTGTCCTAATAGAGGACCATCGACTCTCTGCTTCAGAACAGAAGACCTTTGGGTCTCTGTTAGCCTTAACACAGACAGAAACCCTCATGGTTCTCTGTTGGACATTTCTTCAACAGAAACCCTCAAGACTCTCTGATAGCCTTTTCCAACAGAAGTGCTCAAAACCTTCTGTGACCGACTCTCTGCTGAA